AGTGAAATTACACTCTAAAGTTATTAAATAAAAAATATAAAACTTTAGGAGTTAAACAGTTAGTAGTGTTATAAAAACACAAATTTCTCTATAAATTTCATTTCTAATTTATGAAATTGAGTTGTAAGGGTTTAATAGTATGTTTGGAAAAAAAGTTACAGTTTAAAAAAATTCATAAAAAAATTTTTATTTACGTGTATGAAATTGTAAAACGTAATACAAACAAAATTAATATAAAACTTATAAAACTAAAATTATCATATTACTGGTGAATTTCACCAGAGGTAAATTCACCACTGGTGAATTAATTTTAAATTAACCACTGGTGAATATAAAATTAATCCTTTAAATAAACCTTTTTATTTCTATACTTTCTGGTTTTACATAAAATAAATAAATAAAATCTTGTAATTTTATTTATAAATAAAAATTATATATATCATAAAATTATGCTCAGAATGATTCATATAGATTCATATAACATAAATAATATAGTTAAAGTATTATAAAAATTAGTATAGGACAAATTTTATCATATAAAAAATTGATTCAAAATTCAACTTGACTCAATTCGTGAAAAACACTATCGTCAGAAATACCATCATTTTTCACTATATTTCAAATTTATTTTGCCCAAATTTCAGGTTTCAATTTGAAAGTTTTTCTTCAATTTTCTATAAATGCACCTTCTATAAAGTTCCAACTTAGGCTTTAATATTAAATGCACAGTTTTTATATATATATATTCTGTAAATACATCCTTTATAAAAAAATTTTATATAGTTTACTTATAAAATTTTTGTATTACCTTAATTTTAGACTAATATTATATATATTTATATGTGTTCTATAAATACACACCCTCTTTAAATGCACTCTTATACCTGGGATGCATTTATAGAGAGTTGACTGTATTTTTATATTTTTTATTAAATATAACTTTTTTATTTGTAATTTTATTAAAGTAAAAGTAATAGAAAAATATATAAACTCTAATATTATTAAATTACAATCCACTTGTACTGTCAATAGTTATTTTGATCCAATAGGCAAACCTTATTTAAATCAATCTTACCCTATTTTTAATATGAAGTAATCATAAGATTCACCTGATTTTTTTATATTACAAAATATTAAATTATATTTATTTAATTATAAAAATAAACTTATTTCTTACATTTGTCTTTAATAATCAAAGTGTACATAAAAATTTATTAATATTATTAATATTTAACATTTTAGAAATTCTTAATAATAATTTGTTATTTATTAATTAACAATATTATAAATACGATTGACAAAATAATATAAAAAAAACAGGTAAAATAATTGAATATTTGCATTCTATTGTATAATATATATTAGAATAATAAAAATAATGACCAAGTAATTTTATATAAATATTAAATATTATATTGAAAATTGTGTTAATTATATTATTTAATATCTATATTGTCAGTTTAGAAAAAAGCTTAGGATTTTATTAACGTTATTAATTTATAATTTGATTGCTTGCAAAAGATAACTAAATTCCTAAATAAACCTATAAACATAATATTTATTGTCTAATTTATACCTAATTCTTGCCAAAAACTGCTTTTTACTAGTGAAAACACCTAAAACACCTCAGATATCAAATCAACAAAAGGATATCTTTTTTTAAAACAATGAATATCTTTCCTTCTTTTTGACCTTACATGAAACCTTATATATATAAATATATATAAAATTAGCAGTTAATAAGCAAGATTAGGAAAATTTTTAATCTAAAAAGTGAAGATACAAAACAATAAAAAATAAATGGAATAAAAATTAATGTACGGCACAACGTCCATATATTATCCAATTAATTATACTTATACAAAGAAATGTTCTTTATTGTGATTACCACTCTTGATCGAATCGGAATGTGGCTGGAATTCAAGTTGTTGAACTGGAGTTAAACCCAAAGTTTGTTTCAGCTGCCGTCTAAAAGTTTTAAATAGTAAAGTTAAATAAATCATATTAATTGAGAGTAATTTTAATAATAATTTACATACCCAAGAGTCTCACAAATCTCTCTGTTGTTTGACGTTCGCGTCCACAAAGAAATTCTATAAAAGATTTTCCTAACAGACACTACAGCACCGCATACTTCATCTGCATAATCAAATCCTTCTCCAATGCAAGCAAGCATCTAAACCATAGAAGTGAAAGAAGAATTAAACAAATCAAATTTTATGCCAGCTGTATTTTGTAATTTAAGAATATCATATAAATAAATCTGCGCGTCTAACCAATTTTTCGAGCATTTAATTAATAACTACTCACTGTATAAAGCCAGAGAGTATTGATATCTTCACCAGTCTTATTTCGAGGAAATTGAATAACCCATTTCCCACCAAGTTCATTTACCGGATCCTCCCACATTGGTTTTATTCCTTGTTTAAAAAGATGGTAATTAGATCCAGGCGATAAATCAATAGCCTTGGCAACATTATTGTAAACACTATTAAAAAATAACCATCATTGTTCATTCTTAGTTTAAATTTCAATAAATCAAAATATTAACTTAAATTATAAATAATAAAAAGATTTCAAGAATAAAAGATTTACCTACCCCCAAAATTCTTCAACTGAATCGAATGTGATCAACTCCTTGAGGTTCTGAGACCAACTTGCTGTGTTTGCTTTTTTACCAGGGTTGTCGAACCATAACGTCCATGCGTTAAAAAGTGGATGTTTGACATTAAAATTTACGGGATCGTTAAAAACAGTTTTCATTTCACCGTCAAAAGGGAACGCGGAACTGTTGTTTTCATTTTCTGTTTCTTCAAAATCTGTAATTTCATGATTTACTTCTTCAACCGGAGTCACATTATCATTATCGGTCATTTTTATAACTTTGTAATTTAAATTCGTTTTAATAATTAAAAAAAAGTAGGTGTATAAAAATGGATATGAAAATGAAACGACAACACTGCTTTCATCCGTAAAAAATTTTTTTGTAAGAAATATCTATTCACGTGATGGTGATATTATATGAGCCATGTCACATGATCATGATTTATATTTAGCATGTTATAAATAATTTTATAAATAATTTTACAAAAGTAACTTAAGAGGATTTTCAATATAAGACCTCCACTCTTTAAGCCATTGAGAACCAACTGCCCCATCAACAACCCTGTGATCACATGAAAGTGTCACGTGCATGGTATTAACAATTCTATGACCTGTCTCAGTGTCGGGGTCAGGAACAAGTTTTTGCTCAGTAGTTCCTACAGCAAGAATACATGATTGTGGTGGATTAATAATGGCTGTGAAAGATTTAATTCCAAACATTCCTAAATTTGAAATGGTAAAGCTTCCTCCCTATAAAAATATATAATGTTTAGTTATGTTATATCATAGTCATGTTAGGACAAATTTAACCTACTTGATATTCCTGTGGTGCCAATTTTCCTTCTCTGGCACGACCAGCTAACTCCTTAACCTGATTTGAAATGGCCCCCAACCCCTTAGATTGTGCATTTGTTATGATCGGTGTAATTAAACCAGAAGAAGTAGCAGTAGCAATAGAAATGTCAGCATTATGGTATCTGAAAGACAAAAATTAATTGATTGGAGATGTGCATAATTGGAAAACTAGAAAATTATTATTCTTATTATTATACAATCCAATGCTCACTGTCGAATGAAATCGTTATTCCACGCGCTATTCACTTCTGGTATAGCCATAAGTGCGGAAGCAGATGATTTGATAATAAAATCGTTCACAGACAACTTATATTTTCCGTCGCTCGCATTATTAAGAGTTTCACGAAGTTGCAAGACCTTATCCATGTTAACTTCAATAGTTAAATAATAATGTGGAACTAATACTTTGGAGTCCGTTAATCGTTCAGCGATAACTTTACGCATGTTATTTATAGGAATGTCAGTATAAGCTGACGTAGGTTCGATAATTGGAGTTACTGGTTTTTCGGGCTTTGTGGGTTTATCGAAACTTTCAACATCAGCTTTTGTTATACGACCTTTCGGTCCTGTACCAGTAACTTGATCAAGAGAAATTCCACGTTCATGTGCTAATCTACGTGCTACTGGACTAGCAAAAATTCGCACATTAGTTGGCTGATCAGTTGTTGCTGTTCTAGACTCCGTTTGCCGAGGTGAAGCTTCTTCTTTTTGCTCAACAGGCTCAACCTTCTTCGTCTCAGTCGTTTCACTTTTTTCGACAACATAATCAGCAAATTGATCGATTCCTTCTTTATCCTCAATTAAAATAGCAATTGGCTATCATAATAGAAAAAGTTAGAATTTAAGGTTTTGGAATTCATATAATAATGATCATGTAACATACCGTCCCAACTTTGATGTCCTTTGTTCCAGCTTCAACAAATATTTTAGCCAGATAACCTTCTTCTTGACATTCAAAATCCATTTGAGCTTTGTCAGTTTCAATTTCTACTAAAACATCCCCAGGTGATACCGCATCGCCAATCTTCTTTTGCCAAGTGCCAACATTGCCCATCGACATTGTTGGAGACAATGCAGGCATTGAAACCACAGAATGGGGAGGATATGCTAAAAATCATACAAATTTAGAGAATTTAAGAATAGTTCTATCTTCCATTTAAATGATTCGGTAAAACGAAACACTTACATTTTGTAGTATAATAACGACGCGATGAATCTTTTCTTGTTCGGTTGTAAGTTAGACAGGCTGAATAATTTTTTCTAGCACTAAGTTGATGATATAATATTGTCAGGTCTACTTATGAAGTCAGTTTAGTCTTTAAATTAACACGCCTACAGCATACCAATAGGTCGACAAGGGTTTTACTCCAAATTTTACAACTCGCGTCAATGTAGGCATGGCTAATGGAGCGATTCTGACAGAAACGCGTGAAACTCCGAACCTACAGAGTCTAATCAAAACATGCTGGTCTTTTAAAATTTTTAAAGCATTCATTTTTGTATAGATAGAATTATTTCAATTGTGATCGGTCATATATTTTTTGAGATGACATCAATATGAGTATACCAAATTCGCCCTATAAAGTATTACCATAAAAGATATAGTACGGTAAGCTCATGTGAAATCTTGTGAATTGATAGGCTTTTAAACGCGAATTACGAAATTTATTTTCTGAAAAGCCTATCTATATGAGGCAATTTCCATTAGAGTAGGTAATTCTGTTATCGTAGAAGAATTTATTGCCTTTTGTAATAGTAGTAGAATAGAGCATTTAACATAGAAGAGAGTTACTAAAAATAGATAGGCTTTTTTTTTAAACAACATACATTTTTAGTTAGCTTTTCTATATGCAATATCCTTTTTTTTTTCTTTACAATTTCCGATGCTTCGTATTACTATTCTATCTTAAACAATAAGGTAATAGGGATCCGCAATTAAAGATCAATACGTCCTATGTATATAGAAATTACTTATGTAATATTCGATTAGTTGTAAAACAAGAAAATAATATATAGAACATGTAGTTGCAATAAATTTCACTGTATTTAAAGATTTCAAGCTCTATATTAATCGTTTGAAATTTTTTTAATTTATTCATAATATTATATATTTGATATTTCAGGATTATACTGTATATAAAATTTTTTATAGTTATATAATAGTACTTTAAATTTCTAATATATCTATTAATAGCATATAAAAATTTTGAAAAAAATTTCAGAAATTTTCAGAAATTCACTGGTCACATTTGTATTCTCAAAAAATGAAGTATTATTATTATACCCCCTAAGTCTTATTCAAAACATTTTATTATTAAATCTATCCTATATAGTCACAATCTATCTATAGTCACTATCAATTTATTTCCAGAAATCTTATATTAAAATATTATTTATAGTTACTATTATATAAAGAATATAATAAATTGCTTAATATCCAATGATTATAATAAAAAGATGATGTAATATAACTTGTTAAAATTGTCTTATTAAGACAAATTGAATGGTAGTAGTTTTATTTTTCTATGATAAAAATTGGCATTTTAATAATAGTCCTCTTAACAAATTGATTTAATTAGATTGGTAATATAGTACAACCTAAATTAATTATAAAAAAAAACCATTTTTTGTAAATATCTTATGATCTAGCAGTTTATTTTGATCAGCATAACATGATCTATAAAAAAAAAAATAATCATTAAAATCCAATTATTAGATTACGAGATAATTTTTTTTAAATTCAGATCAGATCAGATTCATAATTAATAGCTCTTTAAGATCATTTAATTAAGATGAATTGAATAGTATTAAAATTATCTTCTAGTAGGTGTAATAAATTATAAAATATTAAATGATAAATTATTAGATAATTTGCAATTTATCATATTTAGCAAAATAATCTTAACACTATTGTGTTTACAAATCATTACTAGATATAAAGCAATTAAACAGCAAACATTTAAATGTTGATTAAAACTACCATTTAAATTAAGTTTTATCATTTGCTAAAACTAAAATGGTAAAATTAATTTAAGAAAAAATGAAATGCCAAAATTATTCCAAAATTCCCAAAATTGGCTAAAACTTTTGATTGGCTATTCATTATAATATCACATGATCAAAATTAAATTTTTTACTAAAATTAAGCATAGCAGGCTTTCCAATTTTTGAATAATCACATGACGATTGGCAAATGTGATTTTTACTTAAATAACAAATAAAATTTAAGTAAATCATCAAGTTTTCAAGTAATTTTAAATGACATAACAGTCATAACACTGATGTAATTGTTTGTTACATAGATATGTATTTTATTGGCTAAATATTATCAAATGTATCGGCATATGATAATTGTACTAATTTATTTTAATTGTGCCTAAGGTTGCTTGTCTAAACCTCTTCAAAATCTTACGATTAGTTTCATCAAAATTTTACTATAGATTTATTAAAGTTTTGGCAGAGTTTTGGCAGTTTTGGCATTTATAATAAGTTTCAGCAGTTTCGCCTTTCTCCAAAGTTTCGCCAGTTTTTTAATATAACTTTAATATAGTTTCGGCAGAATTTCGCTTTTCGGCGAAACGCCATCTTGCCTAAACCCCTAGGTTTCAGCAAGCAACCTTAATTGTGTCACAAAAAATTTAATAGCAAAGGACAATAAAAAAAATTGATTCTTCAGGTTATGTTTAAACGTATTACAAAGGAATCTGGCTATTGAAGACGGAATCCAGAAGTTATAAATACTTGAAAACTTCTTATAAAACGAAAATAAGCATAGTACATTTTCTTTCAAATTGTAATAAGCTGAAGAAACAAAGAAATATGAAATCTATTTACAACAATGGAAACAGATATATTCAAAGGTTTGTTTTTACTTAAGCTTTTTAATCTACTATATGTTTATTGAAATTTATGATGGAAAAACCCTTTTGAAGAAGCTCTTTTCTTTGTATATTTAACAACTTCTTAAAAAACAAATTTTTTGGGTTTTATAATAAATTATTTACATAATTTTTCTCTATTAGAAACTGATCTATCTATTATTTTATTTTCTTTAAATAGTAAATGACTCTTTTTCATTCCTTTAAATAAAATACAAAATCTTAAAAATAACTTATTGGTAAGAAATTTTATGATGTAATATTAGTAATATGGTATTATTTTCTCAGTTTGTATATTGGCTAAACAAATAATTTTACATTTTAAAAGATTAAATCACACTCTAATTTTGGAATCAAAGATCTTTCCAATTGATTCACTACATATAGAAATGTTGACAATCAAATTCATAATTAGAAATAAATGTGTTGAAC